TAGGAAACACAGCGGTAGGCTGCGATACTGAACTTTCTCTCCGCTAATCCTTCGACGTTGGGATTTCAGGCTTCTATGTAGCAATGGGAACGCCTCTTGGGCCAGTGAAAATCAACCTCGGCGATAAAATCAAGGATCAGTTTGTAGTAAAGAGAAAAATTGGCGAAGGAGCATGTGGACAAGTTTACCTTGTGAATATCGTCGACAGAAATGGGAAGGTATCCAGTCTAAAACTCCCAATAGTAGTTTTGACGAAAGTAGGTATTCTAGACAAAAGGAAAAGCTGCAATGAAAGTGGAGCCATTAATGAGAAGTAAAGATGATGAAATTCTTAAAATGGAAATCTTCGTACTGAAGAAAATTCAAAAGTACGTCTCTGATTACTGGAATATTGGTATGCGTATTGCAGCCGCTGGGAAGCTTCACCACCGATTAGGACTTCTGCTGCAGAGGGAGACCCACCAAGATTCATTTTCACTGTTTGACTAGCAGAATGGCAGCATCTGGAGATTTCCATGTCAAATCATCATCGCTAGCTTCGCCCAAAGCACGCGTCGATCCTAGTAATAATGGCTGGTTAGGCGCGAATGAGGGCAATGTAGATCAGCGGGAAAAGTAATCTAGTAGCAAATCGTAAATGTATTTGCCCTGCTCTTAAAGCTCCTGTGAAGACCGCTGTATTCTCAACACCGTATGTGAATGTGGCAGATAGAAGGCAGCTGGGCCAGCACCCAATCTCTGTTCGTTTGACATGGCCACCGCTACTTTGATGGCGTATGATTCATTAGGAGCTGTTCCCAACTATTTTCCTTTTTCCTCATGCTCCTGGTAGGATTTAGGATGTAGCCCAAATAAATAACTTGACTCTTGCCAGTCCAGCAGGCGGCATATGCAAGGATCAAGGAAGAAGAGAAATTTATAGGTGGCGAAGACTATAGTACCCATAGGTTCGATACTCCAGAGACAAGACAATAAAAGTAATAGTAATTTTAACCAAGGAGCTTTGCAGAAAGTGATGGTGATTTTTGACATCCTATGGTAGCTGAAGAGGAGATAAGGAAATTTTCTTGATTTAGAACAACAATAAGTGGAAACAATGCTTCCTTTCCAAACAGTAGACAATGGAAAATGTTGCAAAAATGACACAACACCTCCTTTAAAAATTTTTCGTTTACTTTTTTTTCGTGCACATAACCCCAACAAAGGAGGAGCTAGAGTCGTCTTTATACACAAGGTGAAATTGTGAACAATTTTGACATGATTCAACTTTCAACGTGTTTGAGGCCACTCTTATATCCTAGTGAGTCATTCAAATTTTGGACTTCGCGCTTAAATGCATACATTGTTCTCTTTGGGACCAACAGAGAGCGGAAAACGGGGGAAACGTAGAGAAAAGCGAAGAGATTTATGGGATTACGAGAGTGATTACGTGAGATACATGCTAGTGATCTCAAGCTTTAAAGTCAAGCACTGAGAATGAGACCAAAAGTAGAATCATCTCTATTCTATTTAAATAAAAAACGACTCCCAAAGAAAAGCCATTTTCGCATGCTTTCCTTTGGATTTTTCCACTAAATTCATGATTTCTGAAAGTTGCGCAGTTGTCTTCGTTCTACAGCTCAATGTTGTGAACGGAATGGTGT